AATATCATTAATGACCAAGAGCCTGAATTATGGAAGAACTTAGTCTGTTCAAGACATTGGACAAGTAGTCTAATGTGACTGGAATTTAGTGAATAAAGGGAAAATTGCTGTGGAAAGATACTTGAGAGGTTGATCATAACAGGTCATTTAGGGATTTGTAGAGCATGTTAAGCATTTTGGATATTATCCTAACTGCAGTAGGAATTCATTGCAAGGTTTTAATCACAAGAACGATTTGCTAAAATGTGTTTTGTTGTTTTTTCTTAAGGCACATGGGCTACACTATACCGTGCCAGATAACACAGGGCTGGAGAAGAAGCAAGAGAGTGGTTAGTTCTTAAATCCCTAGTATAAGTTAGTGCTTATCATAGTCTAGATGAGAGAGGGTGGTTGCAGAGATAGGGGACAGGTGGATGGTGTAATGAGAAAACTTGGGACTGTAGTGCCCCCCACAACTCCTCGCAAACTGTGAAGTTTCCAAGAGACCAAAGAATGACTCAGACAAGTCCAGCTTGATGAGTAGATGAATTCATTAGGACTTACATACAGGGCATTGCTGGACAGCAGCAGTATGGCTCCAAGAGATCCACATGACCAGTATGGATCCAAGAGATCTCTAGGCTGCTTTTAAGCTAATGTTCTGGCTCTTTGCCCCACACTCAAGTGTGTGTATGTGTGTGTGTGTCCAGGTCTGTGTGTACATGTGTGTGTGTGTGAGATGGGACTTTTTTCCTTGGTCTACTCCCAGCCATGCCTCAGGATGTTTGGGTTCTCAGGGACACCGGCTCCTCAGGTAGGCACCATGGGCTTAGCTAACTGCCTGGCCCTCAAGGTTCAAGCATTGGACATAACACTCTTTAGTAACCTGGTGGGGAACCCGTCACATTGATGGATTAAAAATATTAATTTGGAAGTAGAGTCATTGGGACATGGTGAAAGTTGATTTGAGATAGAGGGATGTTATAGGTATTAATAACTAAAGGGCAATTCAAAATATGGGCTACTGCTCATAGGAGAGAGCTTGGCTAGATATAAATTTGAACATTAGTATATAGGTGGCGTTAAAGCTACAGGAGAGAGTAATGTTATTATACTAATGATAGCAGAGTACAGAGAAATAAAGAATAAAGCCTAGGACAGAGAACTCTCAGGAAATTGAATACCCAGTGAATTAATACAAAAAACAGACAGTTGCATAGGATTCAGGCACAGATGACAGGAAAAGAGAAGCAGTAGTCAATTGAGCCAGACACTAAGTAAAATGAGGAATGTGTACAAAAAGACAAACATTGTATGATTTCACTGATAGGAGGTATCTGAAGTAATCATCTTCAGGCCGGATGTGGTGGCTCACTCCTGTAATCCCAGCAGTTTGGGATGCCGAGGCAGGTGGATCACCGGAGGTCAGGAGTTCGAGATCAGCCTGGCTAACACGGTGAAACCCCGTCTCCACTAAATATACAAAATTAGCTGGGCATGGTGGCACATGACTGTAATCCCAGCTACTCGGGAGGCTGAGCCAGGAGAATCACCTGAACCCGGGAGGCGGAGGTTGCAGTGAGCTGGGATCACGTCACTGCACTCCAGCCTGGACCACAGAGTGAGACTCTGTCTCTGAAAATAAAAGTAAAGTAGTCATCTTCATAGAAATAGTAGAATGGTGGTGGTTACCATAGGCTAGGAGAAGAGGGAAGGGGTAGTTATTTAATGATTTTAGAGTTTCAAATTTGCAGGATGAACAATTTCTGTAGATCTCTTTCACAGTAATGTGAATATACATTACACTAATGACTGTGCACTTGAAAATGGTTAAGATCGTAAGTTTCATCTTATGTATTTTTAACCACAATTTTTAAAATGAGGAATGTAAATTGTGCATTGAGTTTAGGCTCATAGAGTGCTGGGAGCTAGGGCCCAGCTGAGATGGTTGAAGACTGACAGTCAATAAGTATACTGTTATTTCAGTCTGGCTGTTAAGGGGAATAGGAAAATAGAAGGTAAAGATAGTCAGTGGTTGTTTTTAAAAGAAACTATAGCATTTTAAAAGAGGACTCAAAACATCCAGTGGAGAAGGAGAGATGGATTAATTGAGGCTACTGAGATTAAGGAATCAGATGGAGTACATAGCATACAAATATTGCTATTGAGCAGTTGTCAGGACTAAGGAATAGAAAAAGAATTTTTCTTACTGGTTCTACAGGATGGTAAAGATGGTAAGTTAGTAGGTGGACAACTCACACCTGATTTGCCAGACAGATTGTTCACAGGGTTCCACATTGAATAAGTGCAGAGATTGTGCAGAGAAAGTCACAATGCACAAATCGCTCTGTGTTCATTTATCCTGAGAAAAGCAAGCCAAAAGGGAAAGGCTTTATCTGGGAAAGAGAAAGTCTTCATACCTCTCTCTGGTGAGAAATGGAAACTCATTTAAGCAGGACAGTGCAGAAAATTTGGCTACCACAGACATGCTATTAATCAGAGCTTCTTCCAACCTAAAAGGAGTAAACATTAGGGAATGTCAGAATGAGAACAGATACTGATGTTTGTTCCATGTTAAATGAGGTAGTTTAAGATTTTGTCTTAAGTCTAGTTTTTAGAGGTTGGCTAAACAATGAAGAGATCATCAATATGTGTAACACAGGGGAAACTTCCCAAGAGCATTTGCTTGGAAACTTGGAGATTACCTTCAAAGGTATTTTGTGACTTACATGGAATTTATTCTCAAGTGGCACTCAGATTTTTCCAGTCAACATATTTCATGGAGATGTTGGAAGACTCAGCTTCTCCCACTCACTCCCTTTTCTTTTTTTTGTTTTTAAATCTGTCCTGTGGTAATATATAGATATGTTAATAATTTATAACCATATTTTCTTTTTTCCTGAAATACTTGTAATTTTTTAATATTATAAAGGAGATTTTTTTAAAGGTATTTTTGGAACACTAGTCATTTCTTTGGAGTTACCATGTGCCCTCTTAGGCAAAAATATCTATTTAGTCAAAATTGTGACAGTGTCTAGAAGGTACATATAAATTCAGCATATAAATATTATGAATTAGTCATTTGGAAAAAAATAAATTTCAAGCATTTATTTCACAAATATTTGTTGATAACCTTGTGGTAAGCACCTTGTTAGTGTACACTTCATGTATATCAGTTAACTATTGCTATCAGGGAGCTTCTAGTCTACTGAGACTGGATTTAAACAAATGACACAAATTATATAACAATAATAAATTCTATGAGTTAAAAAGTACAGGCTGCTATGACAACACATGACACCAGGGCAGCCTAATGTGATTTGGGGAATCAGGAAGGCCCTCTGGGAGGAGGTGACATTTAAACTGAGGCCAGAAGGGTGCTTAGGAATTATCCCAGTGAAGGTGTGGTAGAGCAATGGTTGTGGAAAGTGAGGAGTAGGAGACTGTGCAGAGGCCAGGAGGTGGGAAGAAGCAGGATCTGTTTCAAAAAGATGTGGAAGGCTCCAGTGGACTGGAGAAGCCAAAGAGAGAGGACCAGCTTCATGACGTAACACCGAAGAACAGGTAGCCCAAGATCACTTAGAGCAGTGCTAGAAGGTCTAAGCAACAGACATTATCAGATTTGTGTTTTTCAGAGTTCAGTCCGGTAGCTCTGTGGAGAAGTTATTCTCTAGGACAGGAGTCAGCAAATATTTTTCTGTAAAGGTCTCGATAGGAAATGTACTAGATTTTTCAGGTCATATGGTCTCTCACAATTAGTTCTCATATCATGTAAAAGCAACCATAGACATATGAAGAATGAACCTGGCTACATTCCAATACAATTCCAATAAAACCTTATTTATGGATGCTGAAATTTGAATTTTATATAATTTTTGTGTGTCCTGAAATATTATTATATTGATTTTCTTAACCATTAATCATTTAAAAATATGACAACTGTTATTAGCTCATAGGCCATACAAAGATAGGCAGGGCCTGAATTTGGCCAGCAGGCCATGGTTTGCTGACCCATGTTATGGTTCTTGTATTTCTTATTCTCTTAAATTTTCTGCTCTACCTCTTAAATGATGTTTTAGTTCTATCATTGCATTTTTCTTCAATTGTCTACGTTTTTTCAACACTCTGGTAAAGGTATGACTAATGTGAAATAAGAAACAGGAATATAACCTCTCCTTTTCCATTTTTTTATCCATTTTTAATCTATTTATAAACATGACTGACCATTCTATTTTTTTATCTACAGATCTTAAAAAAAAATCTCCATTTTGTATTTTTCCTGTTTTATTTTTTTTCCCAAAGTTTTATACTTAGTGCTTTCTGTTTTTTTGAACTTAACATTGAGGTTTTCATGTTTTCTTTCCCTGGTAGTAGTTCTAAAATTTAATTCTGGCATTCTAAATAAAAAATAATACAGATATCAGAAAAACAAAGCCCTAAAATTGCATGCAACCATTTCTTGTAAGAGTAGATAAATAGTTTGTTTACATCAAGATAAACAATATCCATATAATTTGAGATCTACAAACACAACATTCTGACTTGAAATTTTTGGTTGGTTGTTTATAGGGCAGTTTTTAGGCAGCTGCTTCACAATATGCTGGAAAGCCTTAGATAGTGGAAATAATACAGACAGACCTGGTCCAAATTCCACCTAACCCTTACTAGATGTATGGTATTTGGCAATTTAATTAACTTCTTGGAGCCTAAGTTTTTTTAAAGCATTCAAAATATGTAGTCAGTGAATGGGAATTTCCACCTTCTTTTCCCCTGTAAGCATAATATTTTATTACATAGAAATAGCCAGGCTAAAGGATGTGGGGGGAAACAGCCCATGTTTTGTGATGATGGGGGTGTTGGGTTTTGTTTTAACCATTTGTAGATGTGAAGTAAAAAAAAAGAAACCTAGTGTTCCCAAGATTAAACTAATATGGATTTAAAGGTTGGTATAGATGATAAATGTTTTTGTGCTTTTTATTAATATTTCCTTTGCCTTATATATTTTACTTCTGAAAACTTAGGTTTGACAGTTCTCTGGAAGACCTGCATAAGAGTGGACTGCACCCACCTGCAACTCCTCAGGTGTTAACTATTGGTAGCCAAGTGGCCACACTTTCTAAAGTAGCAACTACTTATTCTAGGTAGACTTTTCCTTCTTGGTGTTTTTAAATTTCAAAGCTGGCAGTGAATTTAAATATACTAAACTATTTGGAAAAGAAAGGGTGATTGTTGATTACAGAACTGATGTGATTAACATATAGACAAGAAAGCTTGGCACTAACCCTCAAAACACCACTTCTCACTGCTTTTATATTTATATTTTTGTTTAGTTTTAACTTCTAATATAGAATCAAGAAATCTCTTTTATTTATTCACTTAGTGACTTGGAAAGTTAACTTGCTGGATTTGTCATGAGTCTCTTTTTCTGAATTAGAGCATTCGCCTCAAAGACAGGTCAAGGTCATACACAATCTGTTACCAGATGCCCAGACATATTCTAAAGATAGTCAGATAAGTAACTGCTTATGAGATATTACTAGATTCTGGTGATACTAAATCCTTTTCTATTATTTGTGATACAATATGATGAAAGAAATTCATTACCATTTCCTTTTCTTCCTGGAGAAGAATAAATTAGCTGATTTATTTTTAAGTGATTTTTAGACTTAAGTTTCCAGTTCTTATTATTCACCAATTACTTCTCTAAATAGCAACCATTGTCTCAAAGATGCAGAGTAATTCGGAAACTCAAAAGTTGAATCACGTTGTAACTTTATTCTTCCCTTTGACATTCATGTTACTACCCTGCCCTGCCATTGATAACATCTTTCTTTTCTCTTTCCAGAACCTGATGTTTTCTTTTCTAACCATTCACAACAGTTGTTAAAACTTAGCCATACAGTTTAATTTAATGGATAGACCTGGATAGACCAAAAAAAATTTTAATTAATTCTGTATATAATTTTGAAAAAACAGCTTGCCCACTGTTCCTTAATTTTTTTTCTAATGATTTTTGAAAAGTTATAGCCTATGGAACTTGGAAGAATGACTTATCAAATACTTCTGACAGGAAAAAGAGACTTATGTCAACCCTCACAGTTTCAGATATCTAACCTCTCATTAACTGGGGGTTCAGTTTGCCACGTAATTGCTTTGCATTGGAGGTGGCCATTGTCACAAACTTCTGAAAAAAGTGGTCATTCTGTAGTGATAATGCTCATTGATAACTTGCACCCATAAATGAAGCAGAGAGACGACAGGATTCACACTAGCAGTTTAGATGCTCTTTTTATTTTACTTAATAATCAATTTGAAAATCATTATAGTCTTAATGATAGTATGTTCATTCCTGTCCAGGCATTTAATCTTTTCTAAAAGGCCAAAAGAAAATTATTATTTTAAATAATAAATACTTATTACTTAGTTCTGAAGAAAAAATGCTATGCCTGAATTTGAAAATCTTACAGAACTAACAGAAAATAGAAATACGGAACTCAGCAGAAAAGGTGGTATTTTGGTCATATTCACTGTAACATCTGTTTATTTTTACAAAGGTACTTTCCGTCCTTAAATAGCTTTATTCTCCATATTTTAAACAATTATCTCTTTTCATGTTAATATATATTGCTGCTTCTCAATAGGCAGTCAGTTGTACCTGCTTCTCCTGAAACATAAGTCTTATTAAAATGTCACACTGTCAGTGTATATCGTCTCTAAGTTAAAGCTCGTTAGAGGCTTTTTGGAAAAAAAACACACACAACGTTTTCTTTTTTTCTATGCTTTAGAAATTCAGACTTCATGTTTAGATTTATTTTCTACTAAATTGTTGGCAAGTCAGTCTTCAAATGTGTGATACTAGGTCATTTTAATAGGAATAGAGTCAGTGAACTTAAATACATTCAAGAGTATTTGTATGTCAAAATCTGCTTTTTGGAGGATTATACACCAGCTTTTATCTTCTGAGAGAAACCATAGCAACAGTAACTAAGTGGCCTGAACTCCTATTACACTTCTTAGACTTCACACCTTTACAATGCCGGATATTAATATGGAATGATTGCTCTCTTATATTTATTATGCTACCCTTTCTTACTTTCCTTTTTGTTTCTCTCCTGTTTTTCTTTCCCTCTTGTCAGTTTAAGCTGCTATACAGGAAATGTGGAATATTCTTTCGAAGGTTTTCGAAACTTTTCTACCTTCTCTTCTCCTGCTAGATATAGTGCTGCAGTCCTGAGCAGTGCAGCTGCTACTGTGTCTGCTGTTATTGCTGCAAAAACCAGGTAGAACTACACGTGCAGCATCTGTCTGATGTGATCCCAGTGCTCTTCACTGTCTTACAAGTCACCTCATAGAAAACATACCCATTTGAAGCAATCATAGCTCTATTGTGAGCTCTTAATTGTGTAGTGGATATTTTATCTTGATTGTGGATAAATGTCACAGTATTTGTTACTGTTTTTTTTTTTTCTTAAAAATCACCTTTTAGTCTCTCCCCGTTGCTGCTGTTTATGTATGATATTTCTCAGTTGCGTGGATTATTACATGTTATGTGCTAAATGGCGCTTGGGTTTTTACAATTTTCAGGTTTTATATTTGAAACAATAAAGTATTAATGAGTATTTTAAGTTTCTATTGATTTTATCTTCTCCCACAACCTTTAAAGGGTGATCTGAAGACCACTCTCTGAAATAGCCCTTCTCTCCTAAACGAAACAAAATCGTTTTCTTTTCCAAAAAGAATAAAATGTTTTATTTTCATGATTTGGGGATTTTAGATAATTTCTGTAGTCGTTAGAGCTTCAAATGCTTTCTAACTGATGGCTTTGACCATTTTGGTGAAAATCTAATCAATGTTATATTAATGAGTAAAGTGATAGAATAAACTCTTGGTGCTTCTTTTTACCTTCTTTGATCATCCATTGCTGCTTTGTGCTTCCCCTCCCTCTTCTTCTTTCTCCCCCAACCCTTCCTCTCTCAAAGGAAATGTTTCAAATCACAGACCTTAAAAACTACTATCTGCTATGGGTAGTGCGAATTTTGACTTAAAACTCTTTCTAAATGCTTACCAGGCTCTACACTCCTGAAAGATACCACTCAATCCTGGATGCACTTTGCATCAGCCCTGTCTCCAAGCCTTTAGCTTTTTCCTATCTGCAGTCCTCAAGGAAATCAACTGGCTCTATCCATGTTAAGAAAACAAGGTACTGTGGGAGCAGATATGGCAAGTGTGGTTTGCTGTTAAGGAGATTGCTTTCTCTCTCACTTCACCACTATATTTTAACAGGCCAGGTGAGAACATCTTAGAGCGCTAGGGATTGGTGCCCGATTTTAAATTAAATGTAATTTCAATGCCATGCTAATGCGCAAGCACAGTATGTCCTATTAACTCACCTTTTAACCTTTTGTGACATCTTTCATTAGCATACTTGATGTTTGATGTGAAATTTTGAGTAATTGTACAATTATTTAAATTGCAGTAGAATGTCTGTCTTTTATTGCATGGATATAGCTATATTAGAATACTCAAATGTTTGGTAAGACATACCTTTTGAAAAAATGAAAAAGAATTATCAATTTTGATTGGGAATATATTATAGTCCTTAAATATGAAGGTTTTGCTTGGAAAAGCAACTAAATTTTCATTATAGTTGAGAAATGCTAAACACAAACATAGATTTTTCTCCTAAGCCTAATGATGAAGCCAGAAATTTTTAGGCATAATATAAAAAATAAAAATATCAGGTGCTTACTAAAGATAAAATCTCAAGGAAATAACTGTATACAATGATTTTTGACAGAACATAAAATCAGTGGCAAAGTGTACAACATAGTGAAAATCTGATATAACTAGGCTGTCTATTGATTAGATGTTTGTGTCTTAACCACTGTTACAGAGATTTTTCAATATATTTTTTTATTGCTGGGTAACTTTTAAGGGAGGTGTTTAAACAAGGGGTAAAGATCATAGTACATTTTTCTCTAAGAAAAGTACCTGAAATTATTTTATATTATATATTTGCACAATTGTGAGTGTTCAGTGTTGCTATTGTGAACAGTGCCGCAGTAAATATATGTGTGCATGTGTCTTTGTAATAGAATGATTTATAGTCCTTTGGGTATATACTCAGTAATGGGATTACTGAGATCACGCTTCTCAAACTGGTAACAACTGTAGATCCTCTCTCAGAAAAGTGCCTGTGTGCATATACATGCAAGAGTGTGCATGCATTTATGGCCTGACTATGCTATCTATGGCCTCACCTCTAGAGCAAGTATTAGTAGTCATCACCATTACTTTTTATTAGCAGCAACAGGACTTAGACAAAATATAGTTTGATATTGAGAGAGGGAAATGGTACCTAAAAAGATAGGCTAGTTGGCATTCTAAAAGCTGGAATATGGGGTTTCTTGAGGAGACCCTTGCTAACTTAATGAGGGGAGTACCCAAAAGACCAGATACATTTTATCTTGTATGATAGTAATCATAAAATATGTCAGAGATATTTCATCTTGATTTTTACTTTTGTGTGATAGTAATCCTTAAAATTATAAACATAGTATAATACCAAATTAATTTTTTCCATTAAAATGTATTTCCATTATAATATATATTAGTATATTATACTTTAAATTTTGGTTTACAAACTCAAGGAATTTTGATTATGAAAATATTAAAAACTTTCTTCTAAATATGGGATTCTGGAAGGAAAGATACTCATCCTCTCTACATGTCCAGGTCCTTTAAAGGAGTTCCGACAGAGGAATTCTATAAAATAAACAATTGCTCGTAACTAAGGCCTTTCCAGAAATATTCCTTTCCTGCCATTTCAGAATCTGTATGTTAGTATACCATTTTTCGGTAAGACTTTAGACAAAAACTGTTTAACTTAAAAACTGATAATTAAACCTGTGATGCACACTTAGATTTTTTTTTAGAAAATTTAGAATAAGTTACTTTCAAAAGTATTCTTCAAGCAGAATTTTTCCTTTGAAAATAGACTTAAAATTTCCAAGTGTTCTTAATCTGTATCTGAGCTTTATTTGTTGTAATAGTTAAACAAATGTGGGAAAGGAATGTAAACTCAAGATAAATCAGGTTGCTGACACTGAGAGTTAACTTTTCTTCCTTTTTTTTTCCTCATTAGCTCCATCTTGAAAATAAACTGTTGCTCTATTAGTGTATTTGTCTCTATTTTCAGTTTTTGAAAAAATGAAACAAAAATCTTGGTATTCTTGAGATAGAAAAATCTTGGTATTCATATTAATCTATTATTCATTTCAGTCCTTGTTTATTTGGCAGATTAGTGAAAACCATATTTTAATATAAGTATCTGTCGTATCAGCCAAGGATATTTATGGATTTACATCAATTTCCTCATTAGAATCATTTAGAAAACATTTAAATTTTATTTAGGATTAGAACATCTTAAACAATTTAAAATTAGAAAAAATATATTTGAATCATGAGTTCAGAAATAAAATAGCAATCTAAATAACAATGCCATACGATGTTAATAAATCATTAATTTTAGAAGTTTGCTGCTAGTGATTATTGATAACATTTTCTTCCCATGTATAAAATAATATGGTCGGTGACTTTTAATCCTTTCATCTTTAGTACAGGGTTTGTTTTTTTATAGAGACAAGGTCTTGCTATGTTGCCCAGGCTAGTCTTGAACTTCTGAGCTCAAGCTATTCTTCTGCCTTGGCCTCCTGAAATGCTAGGATTACAGGCATGGGCTACTGTGCCCAGCCAATATCTAATGTTTTTTTTTTTTTAACCTTTGTTTAATTCTTTTTTTTTTTTAATTGCATTTTAGGTTTTGGGGTACATGTGCAGAACATGCAAGATAGTTGCATAGGTACACACGTGGCAGTGTGATTTGCTGTCTTCCTCCCCTTCACCCACATCTGGCATTTCTCCTCATGCTATCCCTCCCCAGCTCCCCGCCCCCCGCTGTCCCTCCCCTATTTCCCCAATAGACCCCAGTGTGTAGTGCTCCCCTACCTGTGTCCATGTGTTCTCATTGTTCATCACCCACCTATGAGTGAGAATATGCAGTATTTCATTTTCTGTTCTTGTGTCACTTTGCTGAGAATGATTTTCTCCAGATTCATCCATGTCCCTAATGTTTATGTGTTCTCTGTGTATAGTAGCTAATAGTTAAAATTAGGGGGAAAATGTTAGAGATTTAGAGGATTGGGCATCATATATTCAGATATATGATTGTCTAGATAAACCCTAATATTCTTCCATCACAAAATTAAATGATTCAAGTAAATAGGGATCTATTTCCCCAGAGAAAATTGAACTTCAGACCAATTCTGGATTTAAGCATAAATGGAAGAACTGCCTTGGTTATAACTTAGATTTCTATGAATTCTTTATAGTCTATTCCAAGCCCTTTGTAGCTAGAGTACTGTTTTAAGATTTAAACATCTTAGGCCTTTGAGAGAGAAATCCGTATACAAAAGATACAATCAAAATTAAAATTGTATTTAGCTTATATAATACTTATCCTGTGGAAAGTTTAAGAAGTATTGTGTGTTTTTACAACTGAACTGAGGAAGTAAGGTTTTGTCTGGGGTCAATACCCTGCACTCTAATGACCCACAATACATTTAGAAGCAAAATTCTTAGTGCAGGTGAAGGATGCTTATTTAGTAAATATACTTATTGCTAATTTTATTATTACCAAACCAGATATTACAGAATGTAGAAATAAGAATCCCTTATATTTCCTGAGCACATACTCTGTGCTGGGCACTGTGCTAAGTACTTGGCATGTATCATCTCGTATCTTACTTCTTACAGTAATCTTGGGATAAAGATAGTATTTTTATACCATTTTACAGATGAGGAAATTTGCCAAGTTTAAATAATTTGCCTGCAGTCACAGTGAAGTCTCCAACCTCAGGTAGTTTATAATGTAGTGGAGGAGACAAGATGCATAAAGAAGTAACTATTAATAGTAATTTCAAACAGGCCATTACAAATCAGTATATGCCATGCAGTTAACAAATGTCCTGAATTAAAAGGAGCATCTCTACTGGTGGAAGCTTGAATAAATGAACAAAATAATGTATGTTAATTTGAACAGGGTGCCTGATGTGTATTATATTTACTTCTTTTATTAATTACGGATAGGATATGGATGGGTGCATATAGAGAGTAGGAAGAGGTACCTCATATGTAGAATCTGGAAAGAAATGTAGAATTATGGATAGACAGTAGGGGTGGCCAGAATAGTTTATATAGCATAGTGATATTAGATAAGATTAGACTAATAGATTGTAGTTTTATCTTAGAAAGCTTTGTGTGTCGTGCTGAAATATAACTGAGTCTTCTACAGGCTAAATGGCTACATTCGTTCTGCAGCATTCCATCCTCTGCCTAAGTAGCTTCTGGTGACAGGGATCTTACAGAAAGCCGTAATAGTAACAGATTTCTTTCCTTTGGATGATTTTTTATATTAGGAAGCACCTTTTATTGAAGCAAATCCATCTCACTATATATTTCACTCCGTGAAATTAGGCAAACAATGTAGTCACGTAGAGTGAATCTCCATGTCAGAAATTTGAGGATGGCTCTCATGCTTCTCTAGGTTTTTTCATAACCTGGGCTACTATAACCAGTTCCCTCACCCAAACTGTATTAAGCTTGACACCGAAGTCCTCTCTTTTAAGTCAGTTTGTCTGGCACCTCTCCTGGAATTAAATTTTAATTCTTTCAGATGACTACACATTAAATGGTGATGGATTGGGTTTTGTTGTTATTTCCAGACTGTATTTTTGTTTCATCTATAATTTCTAGCATTGCTTGGTCATAAATTTTCTTCTTAGACCTGTGATTATATACATTATTAATTACTTTCAAAAATAAAATCTGCAAGAGTAATTTAATCATAGAATGAAAATGACCTCTATATAAGTATTTCAAAAATCATTTATTTGTAATGAGTAAAAGTGTTGAAAATAAGGCTTACTTTGATTATTTGAATACAGTAATTATGTTAAGGTTATATTGTGTGCTTTAGAGTATGCTAAGCACTTTATACATAATTATCTTATTTAAGCCTCATAGAAATCTTATGAGCAAAATGTGATTCCCACTTGAAGTTTAGGTAACTGAGGCTTAGAGAAGTAAAATAATTTGTCCATTACAGTGTTTTTAGAAGATGCCCATAACCACTACACTATAATGTTTGAACCTGTTTCCATTAATGTGTTTTGTTTTGTTGCCTTTACTGATGATTGTGTTCAACATTATCATGAGGGAGACAGTCTTTGACTTTTTATTTATTATAAAGATTTTTTAGGTGCTTAACATTTTTTATTGCATAGCATGTTTTATAATCAAGAAAGTTTTAGTTTTTTAAATTAAACTGATCAGAAATAATAAAAGGTGATGGCTCTATGACACTTGCATTTGAAATAACAAGAATAGGGAGCAGTATTTCAAGAAAATCGTTTGTATGGTTTTTCAAAACTGTTTAGTGTCAGAAATGTCCCAAGACCACTCCCATGTCTATTGTTTCACTAGAAGGACTTACAGGACTGAGCATATAGTTGCACTCATGACTATGATTTTTTATAGCAAAAGAATACAAAGCAAGGTCAGCAAAGGAAAAAGGTGCATGGAACCAAGTCTAGAGGAAATAAGGCTCAAGTTACCAAGAGGCCTCTCCCAGTGGGGTCACACGGGAAGTACACAATTCCTCCAGCAGCAAATGTGGCAAAACATGCAAAGCGTTGCCTACCATAGAAGCTCATTAGAGAACACATACCAAGGTTTTTCTTAAGGGCTTGTTACATAGGCACCTTGTGATGGGTTTGTACCAGGATTCTCGACTCTCAGAAGGAAAGCAGGTGTTCACCATAAACCATATTGTTTATACAAACAGTTAAGGCACAAAGAGCCACTCTTACTAGCACTTAGAGAAAGTTTTATGTCACTTGGCCACAGTTCACCAGCCAAGTTCCCAGATGCCAGTCAAGGGCCAACTTGGCAAGCAGGCCTTCTATGGATGGGCAGTAAGATTTAAGAGTCACTGGGGAAATTATAAACTGTTGTTCACTTGGTAAGATCATGGACAATATTTAGTTTATAACTTATTTTTATTAAAATAATCTCCACTTAAAACAGTATAAGTAAGGATATTTTATCGAAGCCATTAATATAGTACCCTGTCTTTATCAGTCTCTTCTCCAGCTGTTGATTTCAGGTATTGAAATCATTTGAATTTTTGTGCATGGAATTTTTTAAGCAACCATCATTGAAAAGTTTGTTTTCTGTATTTTTTTTTTTTTGAGATGGAGTTTCGCTCTGTCACCCAGGCTGGAGTGCAATGATGCAATCTCGACTCACTGCACCCTCCGCCCCCCAGGTTCAAATGATTCTCCTACTTCAGCCTCCCAAGTAGCTATGATTACAGGTGCCCGCCACCACACCCAGCTAATTTTTGTAGTTTTAGTAGAGACAGGGTTTTACCATGTCTTTTAGGCTGGTCTTGAACTACTGACCTCAGGTGATTTGCCCGCCTCAGCCTCCCAAGGTGCTAGGGATTACAGGTGTAAGCTGCCACGCCCAGCCTGAAAGTATTCTTTTTAAGTAGTATTATTATACTTTACTTGATGGAAATAATCATTGCTATATTTTATAGTTTGGGCTACCTAGAATTATTATTTTTTTGGAAATGATATCATATATAATTATAAATAACAAATGACTTGGTAATAAAGGCCATATGATCTTCAAAAGCAATCTGGATCTACTATAGATAAGACCTCCTGTAAACAGGTAACTCTGGTTGAGAGAAGATAACGGTAGTCTCGTCCCTTCTTTCCCTTTATTATGAATGCAGATCACTGGATGTTCTGTTAGGCAAGGGATGTTGTCTCTTGTTTATTGTTTTGTGGCCAGTGCATAGCACAACCAACGTTTGGCAGATAGTGAGTGCTTAAATATTTATGAATGAGTATGTGAGTAGAAGGAGTAACTGAGCTGGTCAAGATGGCTCATATCTGTAATCCCAGTGCTTTGGGAGGCTGAAGTGGGATGACTGGTTGAAGTCAAGTGTTCAAGACCAGCCTGAGGAACATAGTGAGACCCCTGTGTCTACAAAAAAAAAAAAAAAAAAAGTGACTGGTAAGGAGTGAGGTGTCAGGGAAACTTTTATCATTTAAAATGATTAACTGCATAAGTTTTCAATTGCCTAATTTCTTGTGGTAGATCTTTTAAAATTAATTTTCAACATAGAGAACAAATGCAATCTGACTCCTTCTTTCTTTGTTTTAAAGAGAGGCAGTCCCTATTTTCTTTTCTAAAAAAGTGATTAATTAGTGTTTTGTTTTCCTTAAAAATTAATGGATATTGAAAAGAAAGGATTATTGCTAAGGTACGTTGCTACCACTTCACCAAAGATGTTTCTTCATTTCCTTTACAGTAACTCTCAGGAGCCTTCTCCGCAGTTGGCTTCCTCAGTAGCTTCCACACGGAGCATGCCAGAGAGCCTGGACAGCCCAGCCTCTGGCAGACCCGGGGTGGCCAGCCTCGCAACTGCGGCTGCCTTCAAACCTGTAGGATCCACCGGTATCATCAAGTCACCAAGCTGGCAACGGCCAAACCAAGCAGGTAGTCCAAAGCAGTCTCTTACTTCTTGTTTTTCTTAATGAGTGTGTGTTCTGCGATATATGGTATTATTCTCTGGTAAAACCCATTGTCAATAACCTAAGATTTAGAAAGGACTATCAAGATTAGACATCTCATGAACATTCTTTGTGCATATTTGATACAGTTGCATTTGCTATTCATAATTGTAGGATTGGGCATTTCCTTGTTTCCCAGAATATTCAGGAAGCATGTGTTGAATTGTAAATTTGGGTCTTATTTAATAACAAACTATATTGTTGGAAGGTTATGCTTGGAAATAAAACATTTTAGTTTTGATGATATATGCAAATAACAACCACGAAACATTTATTGCCATCAAACAATTATTCAAGAAAACATCAAAAAAAAAAAAAAAAAAAGAAAACATCTTCCAATGTGTATAGCATAGAGGAAGAAGGACACAGTCCTAGAAAGAGCGTTTGAGCAGCAATGGAAGAACTTAGCCTCAGTCCAGAAACCTGAGTTCTCATTGTCTTCTACAGATTAACAGCTTTAAATAAAGTCACATAACCTCTTTGACACCCTCAGTTTTCTGATCTGCAAAACAGAGAGAGACTAAATCATTTGCTATTTCTCCCAACATGAACAAAGTTTATGATTATATAACAAAAGTAACCCTTTTAAAAGGGAAAGGGGATATACCCAAATGTTGCCAATCTCAAACTCAGCCTTCATCTCTTCTCACTCTTTATATGCTCCCAGGGTGATCTCTCATCCGGGTTCCTTTCACTGCTTAGCCATCCATAATTTACAGATCTTTCTCTCCAACTTCCACCAACCAAGTCACCTATTTGCCGCCTCCTGGTGGCACCTCAAATCCAGTATGTCTGAAAATACCATTTCCTATCTCTGGGAATTGCACATACACATAGTCACCAAAGCTAGAATGTGAACTTTTAGACCCCACACCCCATATTCTCATAGTAACTCACATCTAATGGTTTTATTTTTCAGTATTTCTCAAATTTCTTCTCTGTGTCATCAGAGCCATTGCTTTGATTCATGCCCTCTTCATTGCAAATGACTTCTAATTTCCCTGTCTCCTTTTCACTCCTTCAGTCTGTCCTCCATACTGCCATACTAGAATGAGTGATCTTGCATTTTCTTTTTTTCTTAAGAGACAGGGAAATTAAATGTCATTTTAAAATATAGTCGTCCCTGGGTATTCGTGAATAGGACTTCCACCAATACCAGAATTTGAGGCTGCTCAAGTTCCTGATGTACAGTAGTGCAGTATTTGCATATAACCCACATATATCCTCTCATATACTTTCAGTCATCTCTAGATTACTTATAATACCTAATATAATTTAAGTACAGTCTCCCAGGCTGGAGTGCAGTAGCATAATCATAGCTCACTGTAGCCTCAAACTCCTAGCTAGGCTCAAGTGATCATCCCACCTCAACTTCCCTAGTAGCTTCCTTTTTTTTTCCTCAGTAGAGACGGGTAGCATTATATTGCCCAGGCTGGTCTCAAAATTCTGGGCTTAAGTGATCCTCCCATCTTGTCTTCCCAAAGCATTGGGATTACAGGTGTGAGCTGCCATGCTTAGCCTTTCTCAAATTCTGATTTGCTGCTTCACTCCCCAGCTGTGGATGCTTGACTATCTCATCCTTCCTTAACATATCATCTAGGACCTTTTCTTCTTTGGCCCCTACAAACTTCTCAATCTCATGTCCTGCTTTGCCCAATTTATAATCTGTGCTTTGTTGCACTAAACCATCTTCAGTTTCTAAGATATGCCATGGTACCATGCTTTTGAAAGTTCTTAGCCCTCTGTACAGAAGGTACTTCTTCATCTAGTCCTGTAATTTCTAGTCTTTCTTCATCAGTTTTGAGATGAGTGCTGATTGAGTACGCAAGCGGCCGCTTTTCACAGTATGATAGCTTTAAGAATTGATCATGGCTGAGTGGGGTGGCTCACATTTAGAATCCCTGCACTTTGGAGGCTGAGGATCACTTGAGCCCAGGAGTTTGAGATCAGCGTGGGCAACATGGCAAAATCCCATCTCTTCTAAAAATATAAAATATTAGCCGGACATGGTGGCACATGCGCCTGTAGTCCCAGCTACTTGGGAGGCTGAGGTGGGAGAATCACATGAGCTCAAGAAGTTGAGGCTACAGTGAGCCGTGATTGCACCACTACACTCTAGCCTGGGCAACAGGAGTGATACCCTGTGTCTAAAAAAAAAAAAAAAAATTTGATGACTCATTATTTGTTTAGGAATATTTTTGCCATTTGTGAGAGTGAATTTTTAGTTAATTAGGAATCCATCTTGTTTTTGTATTTTCCACAATGTTTAAATACATTAAACATTAAATAAATTCCTTTATGTTTTTTAGAAAACCTTATACAGTCTATTTTATAGTGGCATATGTTACATGTCACTAATTTTGCTAAGAACTAGAAGTATTTCTATTGTGTTGGAAAGAGGATAAGCCATTGCATATTGTTAGACTATTTTAGAGGAAAGATTTTTATTACTTCTAAAACTTAAAATATTCAGTCTACTATTATTAGTCTGTGAAATTTCTGGACTATTAACCATCTTAGCAAGACCTGTGCTCTTGGGGAAACAATGCTAAGCTCAGCCCCTTACATTTTTTAGTTATTTCTATTTATTTAAAGTGTATGTATGATGATGATTTTCTGTAATTATTTTGTGTGCATTTGAATACAGAAAGTAACTTTCAGAAAAAAATGCTATTGGTATGGTTATTGCTTTTATAAAAAGCAAGGAAAAGACTAAATTTCTGAGGTAGAAACTGAAGGGAAGGCACAAAGTATATGGCCAGTGGAGGACAGAAAGTTTATATATGGCTTTTGGAAGTTCAGAAATTTATGGTTAAGATACTGCTTTGGTCTTAAGTGGAAAGAAAAAAATTGTTTTTTTGAACTCTTGGCAAACATAGTACAGCAAAATTACCACAAGAGGGCAATGGAGTGCTTTCTCCGAGCCTAATTAAATTTGTTAGAATAATCAAAGTAGGCAAATGTTAGCAACTGTAATAATGATTCACATGGTTAGTGTTTAAAACATTGTTTTTTCTAGAAAATATAAATGAATTTCATATGATCAAAACTACAACAGTATAAAACATTATACATTATATGACAATATAAAGCAAAATTATAAAAAGAAAGTATGTTTTTCTGTTGTGAAGTCACAGTTCAATTACATCATAATTCTTAGCTCAAATTAGAAAATATTTACTGAGCTCTTATTTATCTTGCTTCAGATGCTATAAATGGGCAGGTAATCCGTTATTATGTTGTAGCAAAGTTAACTTATTTTGTGCTATTTCGGAAAATTTAAAAATAAATACAAAATTCCCAGCCATTCAAATTCTTCTGCCCTATGCAATGGTATGCCATAGTTTAAAGACAACAACAACAACAAAATCATTTCAGAATGTACTCTTAGTCTTAGATGAATAGTTTCAAAAGCATCCTGATGCACATGAAAAAGTCTTTTGATTTAGAAGATGATAGTGGACTCATCATGGGTTCGTGCATTCTTTATAGTTCACCTGTGGAAATGACAGTGCCAACTAAAGAGATGTAACAGTCAGGAAGTGAGTGTGTTTAAGTATTAAGGCAGGTGGCTTTGCTTCTTTCACATTAAAGCTTTAGGTTTCATTCTCTTAACTATTCATAGCTGTGCTCTAGTGTTGCTGAGACAGGAAAAAAAAAAAAAAACAAAAAACGGGCCAGGCACAGTGGCTCACGCCTGTAATCCCAACACTTTGTGAGGCAGAGGCTGGTGGTTCACAAGGTCAGGAGTTTGAGGCCAGCCTGACCAACATGGTGAAACACCCTGTCTCTACTAAAAATACAAAAATTAGCTGGGTGTGGTGGCGCACGCCTGTAATCCCAGCTACTCAGGAGGCTGAGGCAGGAGAATCGCTTGAACCTGGGAGGCAGCAGTTGCAGCGAGCTGAGATCAGGCCACTGCACTGCAGCCTTGGTGACAGAGTGAGACTCTGTCAAAAAAAAAAAAAAAAAAAAAAAAGAAACACAACAACACAATTTGATGCCTCCCCACCCTGCAAATCACCAAAGAGTGACTGTTACCATTGATGTCATCTTAAATCGTTCCTGGGTATTCATGAATAGCTGGTTCCAGGACTCCCACCAATACCAGAATTTGAGACTGCTCAAGTCCCTGATGTACAGTAGTGCAATATTTGCATATAACCCACGTGTATCCTCTCATATATGTTCAGTCATCTCTAGATTACTTATAATACCTACTATAAGGTAAGTACTATGAAAATCGTTGTACTGTGTGTATGTATGTATATATGTATTTGAGACAGGGTCTCCGTCTTTCACCGAGGCTGGAGTGCAGTGGCGCAATCTCAGCTTATTACAACCTCTGCCTCCCAGGCTCAAGCCATCCTTCCTGCCTCAGTCTCCTGAGTAGCTAGGATTACAGGTTTGCACCACCAGCCAGCTAATTTTTGTATTTTTTTTAGAGATAGGATTTTGTCATGTTTCCCAGGCTGGTCTCTAACTTCTGAGCTCAAGCAAACTTCCTTCCTTGGCCTCCTAAAATGCTGGGAATATAGGCATGAGCCACCACACCTGGCTATACTGTATTTTTTATGATCTTTTTGAAAATTGCTGTGTTGTTACTTTTTCAGTTCTCTATCAGTAGAATTCACGGCTGTGGAACCCACAGATACAGAGGGTTGACATAAATGCATATATGTATATAAGGAAGTATGTGTATAGACACATGGCAAACACATAAGTTTTGGGTCAGAAGATAATATTTGTTACTATGTTTTACAGTTTTTTTAAAAAGTTTGAAAGTCACCGATTTAAGTAAATATCTCATTTTTTTTGTCTATTGGGTGATGACTATTGTAGTTTTGAAGTGATGGGCCAAAAAAAAAAAAAAAGCCTGCATTGAAGTGACTCACTGAAATTTTAAGACACTGCCAGTATACTCTG